TAAATCTGTCCATGTGCATTTGTTCATAATTCGTCAAAATTCTAGGGATTATTTCCCGTTTTGTCTCCTCAGGGACCTTGTAGGAGATATTGATGACCTCAACCAGAATGTCCTCTAGAATATTTCTGCCATTTTGAAGAGAAAAATTTAGTCCTTTCTTTAGGATCATTATGGTTTCAGGATAAAAGGGAAGCGAGGATAAATTTATTAGCATGTTGTTCCCTTTGTCGTACCATTCAGTAGGTGTCGTGACCTTGGGAGCCCCTTCAACTGGACGCATTGGCTTTAATCTACGTTGTCTTATAATTCCATAACTAAGCAATTTATTAGAGATTGTTTGATCTTGCTTTCGCAACTTGGCCCTATTGGTAGGAAGACTTAGAGGAACGCACCTAGTCCGGAGTCCATTGTATGTATGATAAATTCCGAAGTCGGACCGTGGACGTGGTACAATCCCAGACGTCCATCATATGGTGGAAAAGGGTGTCTCGTATACTGAATCAAATGAATGTCGTAATAGAAACAAACGGCTGCAGAACAACGAAGATCAGCTGTCATCTTCCGGTAAGATCAACCAACAAATCCCTTCATTATTCACTTTTATACTAACTTTATTGTCTCGCTAACAATTTTAACCTAAGAGATTTCTCGAAATCCAGTTGTGCTTAATATTTAAAAATATGTCGGCCTCAATAAGAAGTTAGAAAAAGAGTAAATACATATAGCATGCGATTGTTTATCATTTTAAATAGGGCTTGGAGCGAAAGACTCACGTTTACAAATTCTCCAGGGTAGCGGCCAGCAAGTAATCTGGCGAGGTCACGAAGGCATGTGAGACAAAGTTGTGTATTCATTCCAAATCCTACTCCGAGGGAACTACTAGAAGTGTGTGCGGAGGATGTAATTGCAGTGTAGAGGCAGCGTGTCAACCAGTTGGTAAGTTTAATTAGCCCTGTCTCCAGTCTTACATCGAGGGTCCGCGCCAGAGGAGGTGTACCAGCTCCATTGCCTCCTGTGCCTGTGCCACTGCCAACTCTACTTGTACCACTTGATATAGCGGAGACAACAGTGACCGCGGCAGTTGGTGAAAGGATATTCGACTGACTGGAGGTAGGACATGACCCATATAGACTAGCTAGCTTGTCGGTGAGAAGCTCCAATGCTTTGCGCCGCAAAGACGCATCCTCGTGATCGAGAAGAGTAGAGATCATGCGGATAAACATACCACTTGATACAGAATTATGTATCTTGAGAAAAAGTTGAAAAAATCAAGTAACGTGATACAAGTTAATCAAGATAGAATATAAAAAATGACCAAGTCTAAGGTAGTGTGACCCTTATTATGGTTAAGGTATTCCCTCATTTTATAGAAACAATTTGGTCTGGTTTTCAAAATTTAACCGTATTGTCAGAAAGGCCTAAGTGACGGCAACTTGTCCAAAGTGCTCCGAAATAATAGCCATGATAATTTATAGTACACCGGCATATGCTTAAAAAAGGAGGCTGAAATGAGATGAGTAAGATCACGGAATCCGCTTCCGCTTGAAGAAGCTAGCAACCTTATGCACCGGCCTCACATGCCAACTTCACGCTTTGTTGTCATTTGTAAAACATTTAGTTATATACAAGTTACTTATACAAGGGTGGCATCCTATGGCAGAGGACTTCGTACAAGGTGCCTTCTACTAATTCGCCCTGACAAGACCAAGTTGAAAAAACAGATCAACCCACTTATATAAATCGAAAGTAGACTGCGAACATACCGAGGACCACGCCATCTTGGTCATCATATCTTCGAATTCCATGTTACAGCCAGATTTTTTAAAATACTGTGTGATATCAAATTTTAGTCGATCGCTTTTTGTGGTCGCTCTATTCGAAATGGCCGATAATTTTTTTTATAGTTTGCATGTAATTTAAAATGGATTTTTAAAGATTTCTTTAAAATACAAAATGCCCAATGATTTACTCAATGTCGTAGTTTCCCTACCTTCGGTGCCTTGAGCGTCAACCTTCCACTTCACTTCTAGCCAATATTTTCCAGTATGTGCTGAGATCCTGCTTAATAATGAAATAATAAAAACCGATAGTTAAAGATTTTTCAATCCCCCCACACATGTCTCTTAGTATCCAAAGTATGGCCCAGACCTAAAGATGCATGGATCAGACGAAGTAGAACGACATTCTAAAAAGTTTGAGGACAGAAAATTTTATTCTAGACAAGATTAATTATAAAAGTTATTTCGTAACTTGGTCATATAAATAAAAAAAACTTAGCGTAACGCAACTAGTCCTGAGTCCATTGTGTGCATGATAGTTTCCAGTTGAACAGTGGACGTCGTACATTCTCAGACGTTTCGCCGACATCGTCAGTGAGCATTGCCATTCTTAGCATCACACAAGAACTCGTCAAAAGGACAAGTGAAACGCATCCTTTGTCCAATTGTCTGCTAAATAATTGAATCTTTGACGAGTTGTAATGTAGTGCTAAGACTGGCAATGCTCACTGACGATGCCGACTACGATAGCAGCGAAACGTCTGGGAATGTACCTTGTCCACTCTGGAAATTATCATGCAAACAATGGACTCCGGACTAGGTTCGTTCCTCTAAGTCTTCCTACCAATATGACAAAGTTGCTAAAACAAGGTCAATCAACTTTTATACAACGAAATGAGACTGCGACAACACAAAAGACCACACCATCTCGCTGTGTGTTCTTCATACCTAAGATTAAATACAGCTCGATTCCTAGAATGGAAAGGCTTATAAATGATGCCTGATAAACATATGGGAACTTAAGAAGTCCCCGATCCTAAGAAGGAAAACATCATGATCACCATGGCAGAGGATGATGGACAGGGCACATCCATAGAAGTGACTACGCTAACACAACCAAGTTGCGAAAACAAAGTGATACAAATTCTGTAGAGAATTTAATCTTCGTCTGGTT